TCTATATCTATATCTATATCTATATCTATATCTATATCTATATCTATATCTATATCTATATCTATATCTATATCTATATCTATATCTATATCTATATCTATATCTATATCTATATCTATATCTATATCTATATCTATATCTATATCTATATCTATATCTATATCTATATCTATATCTATATCTATATCTATATCTATATCTATATCTATATCTATATCTATATCTATATCTATATCTATATCTATATCTATATCTATATCTATATCTATATCTATATCTATATCTATATCTATATCTATATCTATATCTATATCTATATCTGTCTCTCTCTCTCTCTCTCTCTCTCTGTCTTGCTCATCTTTGCAGGAAAGTGATGCGCGCCTACCAGGACAGTTGGGATCATCGCTGTCGTCTGCTCTTCTGCTGCATGGGCTCGTCGGAGCGCAACCGGAACTCGTTCACGGACATTGCGCGACTGCTGAGCGATTTCTTTCGCGAACTGGATGTGGTGCCATCGGATGTGGTCGCCGGCTTGGTCCTGTTGCGTAAATTCCAGCGCCTCGAGCGCGAGGCGATTGTCAGGCAGCGCAAGAATGGGACATACGAGTTCCTCAGCGGCGTGCCCATCACGGAGCACACGCAGTTCCTAGCACTCAACGATGCCAAAAACTATGATTTCTTTCAAACGGTCATACACTACATGTACTTCGCCCAGGGCGCCTACGGCTGGCCCATGTACGTCATCATCAATCGCAGCAAAATGTGGCATCTGGTGCCCGAGCTCAAGTGAGTGTAGTATGGACATATGGCAGCAATTACCCTATTAGTATATCCATCATGCATGCATAAGCAACCAGGGCAGACGCCCTACTTTAATATCATATAAGTATTATCCATCCAATTGTAGCGGAGTATGTGAACGATTTGTGGTTTCACTCTACTCTGAACTATCTCGTCCTCTCTGTTTTCTGTCTCCACTTATCTATTTATGTTTTAGCTCTCAATTCAAAGATGAATTGAGCGCTGAGTGAATGAGAAGGAGAGAGACTGATATATATCTGTGCCTTCCTCTACATCTCCATCTCTCTGTCTTATTCTCTTCTTATCTTCTTCCTTCAACTCTCTCGCGCCCGCGATGTCCTTCTTTCTCTCTCTCTCTCTCTCTCTCTCTCTCTCTCTCTGTCTCTCGCTATATATCTCTCTCTTTCTCTCGCTATATATATATCTCTCTTTCTCGCTATGTGTCTCTCCCTCTCTCTCTCTCTCTCTCTCGCTATGTCTCTCTTCCTCTCTCTCTATCGCTTTTGCTCTAGCTATCTCTATAATCTCTCTCTCCCTCTCTCTATCTATCTCCTTCTTTCTATTTATCTTCTTTCCTATCTATCTATTTCTCTCTTTCTATCTCTCTTTCTCTCTCTCTCACTCTTTCTCTCTCTCTCTCTTTCTATCTACCTCTCTCTGTCACTTTCTCTTTATATTTCTTTTCATAAGTTTATATAATTATTTCACTCGATTGCTCGTTCCTCTTTCTCTCTCTCTCTTCTCTGTAACTTCGCCTTTCTATGTGATCCTCATAATCTTAAGTATGACTCATACATTTCGCACTATCTCTAGTTATCACAGCAGATGTGTTTTGCTTTTAGTTCCCGCAAAGTAAACACAAAATATGTTGCTGGGACACTGATAGATCTGTAGTTCGAATAGGTCAAGGCCTGCGAGGAGATAATACAATAATGCCATAAATCATGCTAAATACGTGCGCGTTCTCTTTTTTTTTTTGCAGATGCTTTGGCTGCTGTTGCGGCAGCGGGGACGACAGTCAGGTGATCCAGGACAACTGCTGCTACTGCAACTATGCGGCCCTGAAGAAGACCCTGCAGCTGGGCGACATCGACATCGTCTACGCCACGTACCATGTGGACGTGGGCGAGACGCCGTTCTTCGTGGCCGTCGACTACACGCAGAAGAAGATCGTGATCAGCATCCGTGGCACGCTCAGCATGAAGGACATACTGACCGATCTGAATGCTGAGGGCGAGGTGCTGCCGCTGCAGCCGCCGCGCGACGATTGGCTGGGCCACAAGGGCATGGTGCAGGCGGCGATCTATATACGTAACAAGCTGCAGCAGGAGAATCTCATTGAGCGCGCTCTGCAACGCAATGCGGATCGCTTGACACACACCTTCGATCTGGTGCTGGTGGGGCACTCACTGGGCGCTGGCACTGCGGCCATTTTGGCCATTCTGCTCAAGCCGGACCATCCGACACTGCAATGCTTTAGCTATTCGCCGCCCGGCGGACTGCTCAGCATGCCGGCCGTGGAGTACTCCAAGTCGTTCATAACGTCCGTGGTGCTCGGCAAGGATGTGGTGCCGCGCATCGGTCTCAATCAAATGGAGGCACTGCGCGCCGATCTCATCAATGCCATACAGCGCAGCGTCGATCCCAAGGTATATGAACGTAGCTCTATTCCGATATTGCCATCTATATGTTTATTCTTCTCGCCTAGTGGAAGACCATCTCGTGCTCGGTCATCTGCTGTGGCTGTGGCCCGGAGCCCACCTCTGTGGTCAACATGTCCGGCCAGGACACGCACATCAATCGGTACCAGGAGGTAAGTATCACTCACTCTCATTCTCCATCTCTCTCTCATTCACTCTCTCTCTCTCTCTCTCTCTCTCGCTGTAGGAGCGCGACACAGCTCGTTCGACGAGCGCCCATCCGACGGACAGCTCAATAGCTTTAACTCTGCATCAGCCCTTATATCCGCCCGGTCGCATCATCCACATTGTGCGGCATCATCCCAAGCCCGATGAGTGAGTGACATTTCCCATAATGCGTTCCCGAATTCCTAATCTTAAATTTGTTTAAAAGTTTCATTTTCGTTTATTTTTTCGTTTTTTTTTTTGGTCTTTGTTTTATGATTTCATAACGCACCCAAAATACGCTTGATTGATTGCAGTGTATATAAATGTATGTGTGTGTGTTTGGGTGTGTGTGGGTGTGTATATGAGTTATCAGCTAGCTTAAGTCAGTATTCGCGGTGCGCTTGGATTCATGATTCATGCCGCATGACGTCAGATCTCTGCGATATCTTGGACTCAAGCAAGTGCACAGTGGAACCGAATCGCAGCTGACTGGATGGAATCAGGTCAAAGTCTTTAATCAAGTATTAATGGCATGTCGTAGCTTAAATATCTTTGTGGATATGTTTGGCCTGAGCGGTAGATCGAACTGGTTCGCTTGTTGGAACTGATTCATTTTGTGGAACCAGTTTGACACAGTTCAGCGTACGATTCGGATTAGTTTGAAGGTCAGAGAATCAACTACGGAATTAATCGGCCACATCTCGAACTAGCTCATTTTGTGGAGCTAGTTTGACACATTACGACTCGGACAAGTGTGGGGCTCAGAGAATCAACTATGAAAAAATTATAGGCTAAATTTAGAACTAGTTCATTTTGTGGAACTAGTTTGACACATTTTGGCGTACGATTCGAACTAATATGGAACTAGTTAGCCACATCTCGAACTAGTTCATTTTGTGGAACTAGTTTGACGAATTTTAGATTACGATACGGACTAGTGTGGGGCTCAGAGAATCTGTTATGGAAATATATTGCCCCATTTAGAACTAGTTCACTTTGTGGAACTAGTTTTACATATTTTAGTATACGATTTAAACTAGTATGGAATTAGTTGGCCACATTTCGAACTAGCTCATTTTTTGGAACTAGTTTGACGAATTTTAGATTACGATTTCAACTAGTCTATTTGTTCATTTGAATCAGTTCAGTTCAGCGAAACTGACTTAATTTAGGGTAACAATTTGAGTTGAAGAGTAAGCAAATCCCCTTAAAGACTTGGGGACTTTTCTAGTTCACCAAGATGCATATATGGAACTAGTTCGCTCGTATTTATGTACAAAAGCTCGAGCTCCAATCTTATAGACTTTGTTTATTAGAAGCAGCACACAATCTTGCTTTTTCTTTGAGTATTTAACTAGAAATACGAAGGAATCCTAGGTATCAGGATTTTATCCCATTTGATTTACAGGGAAAAAGCGCTTCCAAGACTCCCATGTTAGATGTTTGTCTCTGTGTGCTCTGTGCGTCTCTCAAACTGTTATTTGTTTTCGTTTTTGTTTTGTCCACCAGCTCCTCCGACAATAACAACCTACGCAATTATCAATCAATCAATCCATTGCATTCAATGTAATTATCTATAATTATTTTCAGGCAAAAATACGACAGTGGTTGGAGGTAGGCCCATTGCACAGACGATCATGAAACGAAAATGATAGAGAAACCAACGAGCTCTCTCTGTCTATCTCTCTCTCGTTGCTCTTTAGCCTGTTCTCTTTCTCTCCCTCTCTCTCTCTCTTTCTCTCTATCTCTCATTTGTTTTTGTTGTTGTTTGTTTTATTCGAACTTAGCTTTAGATAGATTTGTTTTCCGAAGTTCTTATTGTTTTGCCAATTGCATGAGACGACGCATGTTATATACGTTGCGATCCATTCGTAGCTCTTACCCAAAACATTCCCGAACTCGTTCTCGTTCTCGTTCTTGTTGAAGAAAGCGACGAGTGAAACTTACTCGTTTGTGTTTCTTGATTCATTCGTTTATCTAAATGATTTATGTTTTCCAGCATGGCATTTTAATTAAATGTATCTGACCCCATCCTTCACTCTCTCCATCTCTCTCTTTCTCTCTCTCTCTCTATGCCTGGCTCTCTCTAGTTTGAATTCTATTCATAATTAGCTCTAGTCGATTGTTGAATTGTAGTTAGCATATTATTTCAATTTCTAAAAATTTATATAAATATAT